ACATTTGCTGTCTGGTCACCCTAGTAAACTCCGAATTCAACGCCTCAGCTAACCCAGGGAAATGTCCATGGCCCCCCATTCAGCTGTGCATTTTCTAACCCATAATGCTTCTTGGCTTGCTCTGAACCTTTGAGACTGGGGGTTGGAGTAACCTAAGCTGTGGGCTGAACCACATGCAAGTGAATGGACGATGACAGGAGTAATACACTGGCACTAGCACCGATGCTCATCATTAGTGAAGGAAGATTAGTAGGAGGATCTGTCACAAAAGCCTGAAATACCGTTGTGGACACCAGAGGTGGGGAACCACCAGTCTAGTGTGTTTATAAGCGAAAAGAGGAATGTAGAAGTATTAAAAATAAAAGTGTTTTTGGCTTACCAGTACATGAATTCATAGTCATTTAGTGGCTCAAAAAGTATCCCCAAAAATAAGAGTAAATTTTTGCTCAGGAACAGGTAATTAGTCAGTATTGTTCTAATAAATAAAAAGGACAAATTTAAAAAAACTGGAAACTATTCTGCCCCACCAAAATGCACAGGTGAGGAAATTGTGAACACAAGCACCCATCTGTGTGCTAAGTAGTCATTTCTATGTCCAACTACAGACACTCCGATTTTTAAGGTCAGACCATCTTGATTACCTAACCTGATTTCTTGCATAATACAGGCCATAGAATTTCATTAAGAATAACATCTGGTTAAACCAGAGCATATCGTTTAGAAAGACACCCAATCTTAGATGCACACATGAACAATTTTGTGGCTGCAAGTGGGATTCCACTTTTTAATAAAAGTGATTCCCTGCCACACAGTATCCCCAGTATTGACAACTCTCATGATTATTACTTTTTTTTAGAGCAATGGGATTTCAGAGAGTGCTGGAGCACGACTTGTGATGATACGAGAAACTCCAGTACCACTGCGAAATTGAGCCAGAAGCCAGCAGAATCTCTCCCCTATGATCACCTTTCTCACAGGGGAGGGGGGGGAGCAAAGAGCTTAGCAGCTCAGCTCAACTCTGCTCTCTCTCCCCCCCCCCACCACCACCTTTAAAAACATGGACAAGACAGTGATATTGCTCCTCTTTCCCCCAAACTGCAGCATCCATCCTGGGAAGGGGCAGAGGGGGGTGAAGAGCTCCCAGAGGTGCCCCACCCTCAACTTGAAAAGGGGGAGTGGGGACCCCATTACAGCCCTCCCAGGCCTGGGAGAAGGGTGAAGAATGCCAGGAGGTGCAGTGGTGAGGCTTGGGGGAGGCTGGGGGGGGATCTGAATTGATGGGGGGCTGGGGGCAGTTGAACCGAAGGGGGCTGAACTGATGGTGAGGGCAAGATGAATTGCTGGATAGGGACATGCAAAGGTGCGAGAGTCCTGCATCAGAGGCACCAAAACACCTTACCCAACACATTGGAGAGAGTTGGCAACACTGCAGGGGCAGTTCAACAATCAAAAAACAGACTGAAAAAACACTATTTTTTTTAAATCTCATGATTGTTTGGGGCAGTCGTATGATTTCTGGGGATCCAACTCATGATTTTTGACCTCTTAAGGTTGGCAATACTGCGTCCCCTCCTGGACGGTCCCAGCCCTGCAAGCATGCTGTACCTCAGTTTGCTTACTTGTTCCCCAGTCTGTCCCAACTCCCAAACCCAGGACAGATGCCACACCTCAAGTTCTGCTAGACACCTTTTTCCTCAGGCTGTCCTTTTACGATCCATGGCAAAAACCAAGCATATTCTGCTACTTTGACAAAAACAATGAGGAGTCTTTGTGGCACCTTAGAGACTAACAAATGTATTTGGGTATAAGCTTTCGTGGGCTAAAAACCACTTCAGCAGATGCATGGTGTGGAAAATACAGTAGAGAGGTATAAATACACAGCATATGAAAAGATGGGAGTTGCCTTACCATGTGGGGGGTCAGTGCTAATGAGCCAATTCAATGAAGGTGAAAGTGGGCTATTCTCAACAGTTGACAAGAAGGGAGGGGAAAAAAATCACTTTTGTAGTGCTAATGAGTTCAATGAAATCAAGGTGGCCCATTTCAAACAATTGACAAGAAGGTGTGAGTATCACCAGGGGGACTACTTTGAGTAAGCCTTCACCAGCTTTGGGGGTAAGGTGTTATCCTTTCATGCAGGACTCATGTTATCACCAGGACCTAAGTTCCCTCTAAGCTGCGAGGCCACGCAGCAGCCTATTAAGCGCCACGCAGGAGCTTAGGGCTGTGGCGGGGAGAGACATCTCTCTCCCAGCCCCGGATCTGCTGTAGACCTGCCGTGGCCAGGGGAGAGGCCCCTATCTCGCAACCGCAGCCCTGGAGCTGCCGCGGTGGGGAAAGGTGCCTCTCTCCCCCAGCCCAGGTGCTGCTGCAGGGAGAGAGAGCTGGGGGGAGTCCTCTCTCCCTGCTGTAGCCCATGGCAGCCTGCACCCCAACCCCCTTATACCTGGTCCCACCCCAGAGCCTGCACCGCCAGCTGGAATCCTCACCCCCCCTGCATCCCCAATCCCCTGCCACAGCCCAGAGCCCCCTCCCGCACTCCGAACCCCTGGGCCCCACCCCACCAGATGAATTTTGTTATGTGTACCAATATGGAGGTGACGTGGCACACATCACCTCCATATTGGTGCATATAACAAAATTCATGTACATGCATGGGAAAAATTAGAGGGAACACTGACCTGACCCCTCAGTCTGCAGGCTGTCACTCCTCTCTCATAGTCCAACCCTCCAGGTCTTTTCCCCAAAACATCCAGTCACTTCTGTCTGTGGTTTGACCCTAGACCCAGGGTCCCTCGCAGGAGTCTGAAACCTTCCTGCAGTCATCTTCTCCAGCCCCTCCTGGGCACCTGCCCAAGCCTCTCTGGTCTGGACAGTCTCCACTATCCATTCCAGAGAGTTCCCTCCCCTTCAGAGATTTCCCATCCTCCCTTTCATTAGTATCAGGTGCCTTCCCCTTATCCCTGAACAGGCCCAAGTGGGAAGCGCCTACCTTGTCAAAAAGGAACTGGGCCAATTTCCCTTATAGGGGCTAGTCACCCTGTGACAGGTCCAGAATTGTTTTTAACTGCCAAATTATCACATGCATCCTCTAAATTGACACATACCCAATTTTGCATGAGTCCATAAATCAGAGAGCTGGACAGGTAATTACCCAATTTCAGTATCAAATGCAGGGCTGCCCACCCAAAGCTGAAGGTGCAAATATAGGCCCACTTTTAGGAAGGTACTGAAGCACATACCTATTTTTAAGCATGTGAGTAGATGATTTGTGTACTTAAAGTTAGGCATAGACTTAAGTATCTACCTGAATTAGGCTTTGTGCACACTACAGACCCTACAGCTGTACCCCTGCAACTGCGCTGCTGTAAGGTTTCCCATGTATCTGGTCTATGCTGGCAAAAGTGCTCCCACTGGCATAATTAAACCACCCTTAACAAGCGGCAGTAACTATGTCGACAAAACAGTGTCTCCCATCAACATAGATTCATAGATTCTAGGACTGGAAGGGACCTCGAGAGGTCATCGAGCCCAGTCCCCTGCCCGCATGGCAGGACCAAATACTGTCTAGACCATCCCTGATAGACATTTATCTAACCTACTCTTAAATATCTCCAGAGATGGAGATTCCACAACCTCCCTAGGCAATTTATTCCAGTGTTTAACCACCCTGACAGTTAGGAACTTTTTCCTAATGTCCAACCTAGACCTCCCTTGCTGCAGTTTAAGCCCATTGCTTCTTGTTCTATCCTCAGAGGCTAAGGTGAACAAGTTTTCTCCCTCCTCCTTATGACACCCTTTTAGATACCTGAAAACTGCTATCATGTCCCCTCTCAGTCTTCTCTTTTCCAAACTAAACAAACCCAATTCTTTCAGCCTTCCTTCATAGGTCATGTTCTCAAGACCTTTAATCATTCTTGTTGCTCTTCTCTGGACCCTTTCCAATTTCTCCACATCTTTCTTGAAATGCAGTGCCCAGAACTGGACGCAATACTCCAGCTGAGGCCTAACCAGAACAGAGTAGAGCGGAAGAATGACTTCTCGTGTCTTGCTCACAACACACCTGTTAATACATCCCAGAATCATGTTTGCTTTTTTTGCAACAGCATCACACTGTTGACTCATATTTAGCTTGTGGTCCACTATAACCCCTAGATCCCTTTCTGCCGTACTCCTTCCTAGATAGTCTCTTCCCATTCTGTATGTGTGAAACTGATTTTTTCTTCCTAAGTGGAGCACTTTGCATTTGTCTTTGTTAAACTTCATCCTGTTTAACTCAGACCATTTCTCCAATTTGTCCAGATCATTTTGAATTATGACCCTGTCCTCCAAAGCAGTTGCAATCCCTCCCAGTTTGGTATCATCCGCAAACTTAATAAGCGTACTTTCTATGCCAATATCTAAGTCGTTAATGAAGATATTGAACAGAGCCGGTCCCAAAACAGACCCCTGCGGAACCCCACTCGTTATGCCTTTCCAGCAGGATTGGGAACCATTAATAACAACTCTCTGAGTACGGTTATCCAGCCAGTTATGCACCCACCTTATAGTAGCCCCATCTAAATTGTATTTGCCTAGTTTATCGATAAGAATATCATGCGAGACCGTATCAAATGCCTTACTAAAGTCTAGGTATACCACATCCACAGCTTCTCCCTTATCCACAAAACTTGTTATCCTATCGAAGAAAGCTATCAGATTGGTTTGACATGATTTGTTCTTTACAAATCCATGCTGGCTGTTCCCATATCGCTGTCCACACTGGCACTTCTGTTGGTGAAACTTTTGTTGGTCGGAGGAGTGTTTTTTCACACCCGTGACCGACAAAAGTTTTACAGACAAAAGTGCTAGTGTAGACAAAGCCTAAGGTCTTCAGGGGCTAAGTTTCAGTTCAAAACATTATCTAGGTTTCATTTAAAAAAAAAAAAAAAAAAAAACCCACCACCAAACAATGGATAGCACCTGTGTTGGCAGGTTAAAAGAATTTAACAATGATTTACCTTTGAGTGTTATCCAATACTGTTTCCACTTTCTCCGTGCAACCAGCTCAAGTTTTTTCTCCTTCTGTAGAGTTACCAACGGCTTGAAGAAGAGCCACCCTGCTTTGCGCACAACTCCTTGTTCTCTCTCATACAGCAGATCCAGTTGCTCTAAGGAACTGAGTGATTCACTGCTGGAGTCCTCTGTGTCTGTTGATGTGTCCGTATTCTCAGCGTTAGTCCTGCTCATGTCCAGCTCCCTCATGAAGTTTTCATAAATGTTCTGCCTCAGGGCATCACTGCTGATCGCATTAGTGGATTCGCTTCTCTGGGGCAGAATGTGGCCAGAGCCAGGTGACCACAGTAAACCAGACATCTGCGAAGGTGCCAGAGTGTCCGTAGCGAGGTTATCAATTCTGCTGTCAAAGTACTCACTCAGATCTTTGGATTTTGGCTCCTGTAAATAATGCAAATTGCAAGTAATCTATGGCGAAGAGACATATTTTATAGCATCTAATTTGTTTCATGTTTTGTCATTGTAAACTCCATCAAAGTGTGCCTGCTTGCACCATGATGGTGCCTGTTAATCCAAGCAATCTTTGCTACTGTCAGTATTACTGCAACATTTTTATTCAACAGAATCCCAGTAAGGCTAATTGCCAAACCAGCAATGTTTGCTGACTCAACAGGCCTTCACACACACACCCCCCAAAAAAAAAAAAAAAAAAAAAAAAAATCTCAGAACTCATTGATAATTGCTGTGATTTGATTTCCAACAGCCCAATGGGCATTGTGAATAGAACCATATACTCCTGACAACGGTGAATTAATCTGTTTTCCTGAGCATCGTGAAACAGGGACATTGTCTTTTACACACCGACCTGACTATAACAGTAACACTGATAAGACTAGTTTTGCTTATTACAGGAGTTTTATAATGGGTGAAATTGAATTCAATCTAGGTAGCAAGGTTTCAATATCTGACCATTTAAAAACTTTGGATCTTTGGATTAACAGATGTAAATTGATTACTTTAATGGCGGTAGGCTGATTTTGCCTCCTGAGGATCTGAAACATGTCAGTCTGAAATTTGAAATATTTTTAAACCCACTGAATTCACCAACTATCTGCCAAGATAAATGTGCTCAACTTCATTTTAAAACTAAAAGAAAGTGTGTTGGATGATTTGCACGAATCCAGGTTTTAAAATTCAGTGGTGTATATTTTCTAAAGATTGTAGACATTGCTATTTCAGTGAGGGCTTGACTCCTAGATCCAGCAGTGTATTATGAAATCCATTTGTATGACTCATGCTTGTATGATGCAATTTCATTTCTTCTGCAACCGGGCAGGGCAGTTCCCTTTTAAGTGCTCTGAGATGACTGTTCTACATATGATTTTAATTCCACGTTGGTGATGTGGAATGTTCGCTCATTCCTGCAATAGTCTGTCTATATGGAAGATCTGAGCCTCATGGCCTGACTCAGCAAGGTGCTGAGTGCCCTCAATGCCCAGTAGGGTGACCAGATGTCCCGATTTTATAGGGACAGTCCCGATATTGGGGCTTTTTCTTAAATAGGCGCATGTTACCCACCCCCACCCCACCCTGTCCCAATTTTTCACACTTTCTGTCTGATCACCCTAATCATAGAATATCAGGGTTGGAAGGGACCTCAGGAGGTCATCTAGTCCAACCCCCTGCTCAAAGCAGGACCAATTCCCAACTAAATGCCCAGTGACTTCAGCTGGCACTCAGGTGTCTTAGTATTTCACAAGATTGGGCTCTTCAAGCTAAATTCCACTGTCAAGAAGAACCATTCCACCAGTCTGATGGAAGGATTTATCTCCCATCCAACTGTATATTACTGACATTCTTAAAAAATACATTATGCTTAAAGAATAAGCAAAAGAAAAAGTATTTGCTGCCTTTTGTATAGAAAAAAAAATTAACAAATTTTACTTGAAAATACCCAGGGGCTGTAAATAGCTCGACCAGAAGTACAACTATTACCCAGGAAAATGTTATTTTTTGCTCAAGTTTACACTGCTTCTATGGTAATATTTATTTGCACTCTGACTTCTACATACGGATAAAGTAAACAAACACGGCTCTCCTGTGAACTAGTCACACCAGAAGCTTGGAAAGCAACTGCATTTATTTTCACATCCTAGATGCTGCACATCAAAAATGTACTGGAAGAAGCTGTGTCATGTTTTGATAGTATGATGACCTCCAACATAAAGCCAAGAGCAACAGTGAGATCCCATGCCGCTGCAGATTTCACAAGAAAGATCACTTTTCAGCAAGAAGGCTGCTGCAGCAGTAGGCTCAGAAATGCCAAATTTAATTTAAAGATTATGTTCCAAGACAATACATTTAAGTTTGAAACTGGAAGAGACCCTTCTAACATCTCTTAGAATGTACACAGGCAACCCTCAAATTAACCTGATTTCTTGGCACAAACTGGCCCTTAATATTGTATGCTGTGCCTTGAAGTCAGTGTGGCTCACACACTGGTTGTGATATGGAGTGAGGAGGAGCTCCAGGAAGATTATGCCACAAGATGGCACAATGCCTACCAAATCTTCCCAGCACACTGGGGAAGCACAGTTGCTGCATCATCCCTTAGAGGGAGCAGTGTATGATCTCCTATTCATCTAGACAGTACTGCTGGACGGTATGAAGATGTACAGGTACATGGCTCTGCCTCCTTTCTGCTCACCTTTGTGGTGGCTTGCACCCCCGCAGTTTTAGAAGGGAGCAGTCCCTAAACCGAGGAGAGCACAGAGAGCGCAACTTTGGCCAGCCCTTTCATGGGAGGCGTTATGGGAGAGAGGGAAGTTTCTGTACTCCCCACTTGTGCGTTCTTACAAGGCCAGGCGCAGTCTGGCCTTTATGGAGCTGATTCTGGGACCTAGAGCAGGAGACAGGAATTTTAGTCTTGATCACAGCTATCCTCAGTTCCCATTGATGGGATTAGCCTTAAACTGTTCTAAAGAGACACCCACTAACTAACCAGATGGTACTTCAGCTTTGATACCCAGAGACTTATGTAGCCAGGTTCATACATAGGAAGAAGGCAGCTAGATAATAACATCTCCATAAAACTACAGGTTTAACCAAAAACCCTGCTGTCTACAGTTGGATTTGGAGATATAACTGAGTTGTCCTTTCCTAACTTGAGAGGGATGACAGCTAACACTGGTGATGAGAGGGAAAACATTTACAAAATATATTTACAACGTGCACATTCCCATGTTTAAGGATTTGTTTTACTGCACATTTCAGATTATTTTTATAGGCATTTTCAGGGCTACAAATTATGTTTTGATCCACAGGATCAGATATCACTTTGCTTTAACACTGTAATTATTTTAAAAGATCCAGTCCATCTCATGAAAAATCCAGTGACTTGAGAATCTATTCACTGGTGTATTTGCTTCCCTAAATGACAATTAGAGATAGCTGGAATTTTCACCAATCATTGAGTAGTCTTATGGAAAAACAAATAAAATGCAGGTATTACACTAACGGAAGGTGTCTACAGCTCTCAGTACTAGACTTTAGGATGAGTTTTCCCACATACCTGCAGTTTTCTTTTCTTCCTAGAGAGGCTTCCTGTCCAGTCACTGATGCGTCGCATCCTGCTTTTTAATGTATCCTTCTTGGAGGCATCGTCGTTTAGGGGTTTGGATTTTCTACATGGGAGGGTATAAGAAGAGTACTGTGTGGGGCCTCTGTGTTCTACCCTAGAGGGAACATCAATGTCTGAGGCAAAAGAAACGTGGTTGCTTAAACTGGCATGAGTGCCAATGTATTCATCAGACAACCTGAGAGCTGAGGATGGGCTACTTTCTAAATTTGTATCCTTATATAGATCGCGGAGGGAGGAAAGAGATGAACTTTGGTTGAAGGACTTTTTGCTGTCATTTGTGGGAAAACTGGCATGAATCCTTGTATCCGGAGTGCTCCTGGTCAGGTAGGAGCCATCCAGCTCATTGATATCCCCATTGTTGCCCCAGGGAGAGTCATACCATGAAGACTCTGAGCTTAGGGAGCTTCCTTTACTGGATCTAAGTCTTGAGTCAGTGGGAGACAGACGATGACTTGAAGTGTCATCTGTACTGGAGTTCCTCCTCACCTCTAGCAGATCATTAGATTTGGATTCTAAAGTAGGCGAGTACCTCAGCAGCTGGACTGGTCCATTGGATTCCTCTGTAGAGACTTTGTTGTTGCTACTGTTGTGAAACTCAACCTTTAAACAGCCATCCAGCTTCCCCAGTGTTTTAATGAGAACTTTGGGGCTCCTCCTGTCATCTGGTGGTGGGGTTGATGCTAGGCTCTCATTCTTTCCGTAGCAATTTAAAATATGTCCACTGCATTCCCTGGAGGCAACATGATTACTTGCAGCTTCAAGGCCAATATAGTGGAAACCATTCTCAGGAAAAAATGCCGCATTGCTTCCCTGGCAGTAGTTTCCTGAGGCATTTGTCCTGTGTTTGGCATGGATACTGCTTTTAGAGGTCTTTGCCACTGTGTCACTGAGCCTAGGTGAATAAGGCTGGTTACTCTTGAAGTGAGAGAGGCAGCTTCTGGCTAGTGATCTCGATTTGTAGCTAGTGCCACTGCTGCTGTGTCCCCATCCATGCAAGGAGCAAGACTTTTCATTGTTAGCATGAATGCTGTGAATTTTCAGAGAACACGGCTTCTGCTTGGCACCAGATGCAGCATTAGTGTGATTTTTTGATCCATGAAGGCTGTACTGGCTTTCTGAATTCCCCATTTTCCACTAAATTAAGAAAAAAAGTTTCATTAGTATCAGTGGCCAGAAGATGAAGAACTAAGATGAATAAAGCACTTTTACACTCTAAACAAGAAACAGAGTTTTTTTATTGTATGAAACAACTTTTTTCACAATAGAGTCAATAACCATTTTCAGTATTTAATAATTAGGGGCTGGGGAGGAGGTCAGGAAAGCTCATTCTTTGTGTGGTTTGTTACCCTGCTATAAAGCTACTAAATGCTGGCGTCTAACCCCATTGAAATCATTTCAACACTTCCCTCCTCCCACACCCCCCCCTGGCAACATTTTCTTCTTATAACTTGTAAAACCTTTAACTCCCAAGAACAATTGCATAATGAAAGGGAAACAACAGGATAATCGCTACTTAGATGTACAGTGAACTGTACTTTCAGAAAACCCCTGCTGCCAGGAGACATGCAAACTGCAGTTTCAGCTTGACTAGCTTCTGTGCAATAAAATGTTCCTTCAATAAATTGTTCAGCAAACCCCTACCTCATGATTAAAAAGAGCCAATCTGGAGGAAAAAAAGGGGCGGGAGGACTTGGGTTTTTTGAATAGCTTTATCCCTCATTTCAATACAAAGCTGCACCATGTTTGTTCAGCACACAGAAGTTTGGAAGTTCACTCAGCAAAACACACTTGAGCAATCCTTGCTCACATAAAGTAGCATTTACAGGAGAAGTTCAATTACTAGTGTGAGAAGTTTGTACAATCTGGCCCCATATAAGTGCACTTGAAAATAAAAGGCCCAAGTCGGCCCGCCCTTACATGGGTTTCAAACTCCAGTGGCTGCAATGTACATACAAATGACAAAGAATGTTTTGAAAAGATATAAAACAAGTCATTCTAAACTGTGTTTTCAATGTTGATATGGTAACTGGTGCTTCTCTTCATATTAACTTTCAGACTGTTGGACTGGACAAAGCTTGTGCAGCCTCCTTACAGGCTTCTGAGAATTAACCCCATTGTGAAAACAGATCCACATTTTTTTTTTACATTTACATTTATTTGAAAACCCTTCCTACCCTACCCTATTCATTTTTCGTTAAGTCTTTTGGTATACAGTTTAGTATGAACTAGAAACAGAAGTACCTCTAGAATCACCATTAAATGTGGGTGCAATTAGCAATCAGCGTACTTTGCATTGTCTTGATAGATAGCCACCACACTTTCCAAAAACGGGATGGCATTCCATGCAAACTTTCTGGAAAATACAAACAAGGAAAAAATATCTCAGTCAAATACATTTACATATATTTTACCTCTATCAGATAAATCAACATAAAAATAAGACAGAGCACAAAAAATAGAGAGAAGGGAATTGGTTAAGAGTTTTTATATTTCAGCTACATATTCCTATACACTATGTTTGTTAACAGGTGTGAAATTATTGCAATAGAACCTAATATTGGGGTATTTTCTAATTCTTTCTTACTCCACTTTCAATGATGAACTGGCACAAACTTCCAGTACTCTGCATTTTGCTTTGGTAACATCAATTAAAATTTATCAGGCTGTGCAAGTATCCATTACAATTTGGACCACTTATATCGAACTGATCAGAGCAATTTTTTTGTGCTTGTTTACTCTGGTCATGGCTGAATTCCAGCCACGACTGCAGAGGTGAAAGGCTACTGGGTAATTCACCCTGCCAACCAGCCAGCAAACTTTTCTGAAAGTTTATTCTAATTTTAAAGTTAATCTGCCAGAAAAACAACAAAAAGGCAGCACCAGGCTCTATACACACCAAAAGGTAACAAGACAAAAGCTGCTATGGAGAGGCTGAGAATACGTCAGCTGTTCACATAGCACACAAAGGCTGTCATTCAAAATAACAGGACAGGATCTGAATTTCACAGAACTCAACAGCAGGTTATTGACTGAAAACGCTCAGTAGAAGAAATGCATCACTGTAGAGAAAGTTTTGGGGAGGAAATTATTAGAACAGCAGTTTAATGGATATACTGTTAACCAAAATTCATCCCCTCCCGCAAATAAACTTGGTGAACAGTTTACAAGTATTCCACGAAGAGTCCAAAGGACTATGACATTTTCAATGGAAAAATTATCCCATCTGCACAAAAACAAACAATACACTGGAAGATCTAGCTTCTTTTTAAAAAAAAGAGAAAATGTGGATGATTTTGTGTCTCTGTAATATATTAAGAACCACAAAGATGACTAAAGGAATTCATCAGCAAGCTTTGTATTTGGCTAACTTTTAGGTTACCTAAATTAAAAGTCACAAACTAATATTAAAAACAGTATCGATAGAGAGCCCTAGATAAAGGCCAGCAAACAAATGTCTTAGAGGTATATTATTATTTTTTTTTAACCATGCTCTGCAGTGTTTACACACCTCTGTACACAAAGTCCTGGGCACTTTCACCAAGCCATTTGTTAGAGACTTTCACTAAATGTAGGGACTTAAACATCTTATGATAAAAATCTACTTTATTTGATATTTTTATTAATAAGGAATTATTTATGCATCCCCTTATCTTGTAGGCACTAACTGTCTATGTCTAGAAAAGCATTAGTTATATAAAGCAGCTGTAATAATAGCAGCTTTAATACACAGCAATGGTTTAACAACAGAAGGGGGGGAACCCTACGTTCAAGATGAGGAAGAAACCAATTTAAATAGAAAAAAAAATACATAAAAACTCTATTGAGTTCCCAGTCACTCAGTCAATGTAAATCTTCAGCAAACCTGCTTTCACCATTCCAATAGGAGCAGATCACAAACTAGGGAGTTTGTATGCAGAACTTACATATCAGAGCATAAACTACATTTACAAGGAAGCTTTGAGGGGCTTATTTCTATTCATAAGGGGACATTGAACTCAATTTGTCTAAAGAAGCAGGCAAAGCGACCATCTGGTCTCCATAATGATTGTGCACTGGACGGGTAATCCTTTTAACAGAGAGGGTAGTGAGCAGGCTTCTATTAAGAACCTCAAGATAGACATCAATTTTTCAAGGCTCAAGTCACTGGTACAACTTCCATTGTGTGTGTCTGATGCCGTGTACATATTATATAATGGGTGAAGGAATAAATTTATCTAAGGTACAATGACTGTAAAATAGGGCCTCAGTCAGTGTAGGAGCCAGTTAAAAGTACAACAAAACAGTCAAATTCCACAGAAATAGTGACCAGGGATTTTTCTCAGTGCCCTGGGACTTCAGAAGGCCAGGACGTTCTAAACATTCAAACCAGTGAAACAATAAATCATGACATCTGCAAGACTACAGAGCAATCACCACCCTCAAAATTAGCCGCAGCCATTGCTACTTTTCTTACATTTGTATAGAGATTTTCCTTCGACAACCCACAATATGGGTGAGTTGGGTGAATCCGTTTGGTGCCAAATCCCAGATGACACTGGTGCATTGGAAAGGCTCTAGGACAAGTTCCAGTTTCTTTGATTCAGAGATACCACATATTTTAAATCCCCTTAATTCTGGAAGATATAGAAATTGGAACATAAAGGACTGACCTCAGCTACATTTAAATAATAAAAATATATATTTCACAGCATCTTTGTATTCCAGATTAAGAGATGAATTCTCCCACCAGTTTGGAGAGATGGCTGTATGGATACCTCTCATGAACAAAACCAGCTCCTATTAAATGTTTTCTGTCATTATAATCAGTGTATTTATAAAGTGGTTCACCTCACTCAAGCATGATAAAGTTTATTTACTTTCAGTTGTACTAGATATTCCATGAAAAAGTTTTTAGCCTTCATCCTAGGTGCTCCATGACACATTTAAAAAAAATGCAAGTATACCAATAGATACTCCAGGAAACCCCCTCTCCCGCACCTACCACCACCACACCCAGTAATTAACATAAGTCAGAATCCAGCAGCTAAAAACATTTCCCCATGTTTATGATCTTCCATATAAAGTCCTCCCAGTCTCTCTGGGCTCAAGAACAAAAACGTGCATTGTAGCATGCCCTGAAAGATCAACCAATTAGGTCTATTTCAGACCAGGGTGGGAGTGAACTCCTGAACTGAGGATCCCTCCTGGACAATGGCCAGCCAGCTACACCCCTTCTCTTAAACAAATGGGGCTCCACCATAAGCACCTTCACCTTCACCATTATGGCAGGATAGCAATCAGACAGCCTTACCAAATGATAGAAAATGTCCTTGGGAATAAAGGATATAGCAGCACATTGCAGCTTTAAAGGAACGTTCCACACCAAATTATTAATCTCTGAGAACAGAGGTTTATAAATAGGTATTTAGCATCCCATACTGTATGCAAAAGCAAAGACAAATTTTGTGTTTTCAAAATGTATTGGGTGAAAGCAAATATTTACTTTAAAAACAACCATAATAAACAATGTTTTGGCATTAGATTTGCTTATAAGAAACAACAATTCAAGGGAACAGGAAGTTTTAAGACCTACAGAATAAATTGCTTATTCTGCGGCAGCAGTTTACAGCCAAAGATCACAAAGACTCCTGTCATGGTTTCACTTATTGTAAGAGCCACACTATGCTGATTTCGGTACTGCCATCTCTCTTCTTCCAATACAATGACACTGCCTAGGTTAAGACTTCCCTAAAATTAAAATGCAGAATGCTTCTCTATTCTAAATTGTGCAGAACTATAACTTCAGATTGACAGAAGGTACACGGGAAGACATAAAAGGACAGAGTACCCTTCAACCAAAGGCAGAATTATTCAATATCCACGGATGATCCACGGTAGGATCTTCATATGGCAATTTTGCAGATTTCTTTGGTAATGGTTGACTTCAACTATGAAGTTGTTAGAGACCGAGTAACATACATTCTAAGCAATGGCGGAAAAGGCATCTTCACGCACACATGAATCCATCTACTATAGCTATTTTTATGCAATATTTAAAATGTCTTCATTCCTTTTGTTGGGCACTCAGTGTGAAATTCACCCCGTGCATGGCCAATATGAGACCTATGCACTATTGAAGTTCCACTTAAGCCCTCTTATAAAATCTTATGTGGGATTCACAGGCCTGGTGCTGGTCCTTTGGACATGGGTGAATCTCATGCTAAAAGAATACAGTGTCACTTGAAGGATATTGAAACAGGCTCCATAACTATGAAACCATCAGAAAACAGATTTTTAGACTAATACAGCCTCCTTTCTAACCTAGGCAGATCAACAGTGTTGCCAATAATCATCAGAACCAATAGCTTGAAGGGATGAAGCGTCTCGGAGAACTATCCAGGCTCCAAAAAAGTACTTACACTTATGTTATATTGCCATTGCTCAGCTGCCGTGAAAAAGTAAGCACATCATTGAGGGAGAAATAGTCATTAACCTATCTTCCTCCCAGCCCCCCCATGACCCATTAGTTCCAAGTCTGAATTCAGCAGACCAAGAGCAAGAGTCTTGTTTAAGACTGACTGTAAAACACCAATGTATGTAAATAGATCATCTGTGAGGGGAAATTCAACAAGAGACACATAGGCAATATAATCATATACACTCCATAGGTAACTGGGCAGTTAGTTGGTATAATGGTAGTAATAGCATTCTAGGAAAAATAAAAGTCAACCCATACAGAACAGATTTTCTGGCTTGGGATACATCAGAGGACCCCAGATTGGAAAATTGGGCAGAAGACAAAGGAAGATGGAAAACGTCAGACCAAGGCTAGCAAAGCCACTTAGGAAACATGAACAAGAAAAAGGCCTTGTCTTTCTATTCTTTACTGTTGACCTTGAGATGACAGAAGACATCAGATGATTGTTCTAATGAATCAACAAGGCACCCACTGTAGAGGCCTTTCATTTAGAACAGTGGCTGCACAATGTTGGTACCCTAGAGTTCTCTCTAGTAGCAAACCAGTTTACATGCCAGTCCTCTACTGCTAGGAGACATCACAGAAACATGATGGACAGGAGTCCACTCTTCTGAATATCATGGCCACTCAAAAACAAACCCTGTCTGAAGTGCCAGTGCTGAAAGTGAGAAGCGGGAAGATGAAAAAAATATGTAGAAGAAAGTACACTGAGCTTAGGAAATCTCACTGTTCTACTAGTGCAAATACTGACCTCAAGCTCCATCATGGTTGTAACATTTGTACAAAAAGGTAGGAGATTAATCTAAAGGAGCCCACGCTGACAGATGAATGTGGATTTCTTTAGATAAGTGCAGTAAAGGGGTACACTCTCTGACCTTTCTTACGGAAGGACTTAC